CACCCACGCCTACGGCATCCCCTCCTAACCCCACCCCATCTGTCACGCCTTAAAATTTCGTGACCGACACTCTGTATTCTACCCCGACCCGAGTGAACCATCCCATAAATTAATACTCATCTATATGCCTAATACGGGGATGCGAAAGCCTCTTCAAATATAATCATTTTAAGATATAAAACAAAACATCAATAATATCTTTAAATAAATATTTTCAAGGGTAAAAGAGAGTTTCATTCATGCATGCCATATGAGTAGCCATATGATTAGAACCCAAAAATGAATACTACTATTGTCTATGGAATCTCTATGACACAGAATGAAATAGTCAATCAAGGCAAAACCCAGTGGCTCAAAAGAATAATAATACAATAAAGTCCTCAACGAGTACAAGTGTGGAGTCTCACAAAAAAAAGCGTCAACAGAAAATGTAGAGCTGTCCTATCCATATGGCACAAGCTGCTCAGGTCCAGTCCCTGAAAACAGAAATGGAAATGTGGCCGAAAGGCCTAAGCTCCACATGCCTAGTACGAATCATGAACCGCTTACCAAAAAGAAAAAGGATAAGACTTAAAAAGATATAAGATATGCAATAACAATTGATATAAGAAAGAAAAATTTATATCAATTAACAATTTAAAAAATAAAATAAAATAATAAGGTAAAACATATTTCAAAGTCTTCCTTTAGCATTAACCTTTACAAAATCATGTTAGATTTTTCATTTGCCGGGAGTACTATACCATCACCGACACGGAAGAAAGTTAACTAGGTTATGTACCTAGCGGCAAGTATCATATACTCTACTTGCTTAGGCCGTCTCATCGTTGTGCCGCACGAATCGACTCAGCCATGCTAATAAAGTAGCACAATAGTATCTGCCCCACCCATGGGAAGTACTCTGTCGTAGTTCCCAACCGTAAGGTAAGTTCTACGCCTACACCGGCACGTGTAGTTTCATGACCTAATGAGGAAGAGTATCCAAGGTCAATCTCGGTGAACTTAACTCCCAAAACCTTTACATTTATCAATAGTGGTGCTCACAGCCAAATCAACTATTTGAGAATAGTTAAAACTAAGATATTTCACAACTCATGTATTTTCCTTTCAAAAAATACTACAAGTGCTATTCCTCCTTCATTTAGTTTTAAAATTAAAATAAAATATTTCAAGAAAATAATATTCATAGCACTTAAATCTTTTATGATGCAAGAAGTGGTACAATCCCAACACGCTCGTCCCCACAAGTTAGGACTCACATTTAGAATTTCTATTTAATAGCGTTTCAATATGAGTTTGGAGAAAAGCTCCAAGGGTAGTAAGTTTCAACGTACCTCAAATTGCTTCCAACCTTATCCCAAATGATCCAATAATGCCAATGAGTCACAATCTACATATATGAATTCACATAACTCAATAATGCATCACAACAATACCAACTAAGCCAACTAAGTGTCTAACACTTAGATCCAATTTCATAAATTTAGCAAAAATCCCCAATTCATCATTTGAAGGTCAACCCTTGAATTTTAACTCTAAATCCTTCATTAAACATATCATGGTATCTAAGTGTTCCATTAGAATCTCAAAAAGAGACCTTCAGGTAAGACCCAACACTATTCATCATCCCTACCAACCAACTCTTCAATTTCAAGACTAGTTTTTAGGGTTTCATAAATAGATATTTTAAATACAAATCTATCTTCATAAGTATACTCTACTACGTCCATGGAGTATAATATATAAGTTTGGAGTGAAGAGACTACCTATTTGTCAAACCCTAGAACTTTGAAGATTTGAGTTCTTGAGATATTCTTCAAACATTTATGAATTCCATGATGTTGGAAGGTTAAGAGATGTAATAAATGAACCAAATCTATAAAATAAAGGCATTTAATTCTTACCTTGAAGATGTATTAATGGTAAAGATCATCCTTCTCTCTAACCCCCAAGAACAAGTTTTAAATAATATAATTTTTCTCTCTACGAAAGACCTATAAAAGCTTTAGTTGTGGGTTTTAAATTTCGTATGCCAACTTGGATGCCTTCGCTGCACTTCACTGCCTCACGATGGGCTCCAAAATAATTGGATGTGAGGGAGGATGCGACGCACCAACTGCCGCATCAATCCCTAAAGCATGCATTTTTGGTTTAGTTGATCTTCTTTCAAATTGTTCCCAACTTAATCTGTGTTGTGACTTTGTCTCCCCCATTTAATATGCTTGTCCCCTTTGTCTCCTTGTTAGCCAATAACTTTTCTAATTTCTAATTCCATATTCGTTGCCAACTGAAGGCTAGGATTTTAAATCCTTATTTCTTATTAAATTCCAATTCTTCAAGTTAGTTACGTGCCATTGAGTTCTCATAATTTCAGCATTTGTGTCATAGAAACTTGATATACTCCAAATGTATTTGATGACCTTGTAACCTCCACTAATTCAATGATTAACTATTGATATTATCCCTAAGCATTCTAATAACTTTGTTTCACTCGAATTATTATGTAGCTTAGATTTAATTGAATTATATCCTTATGTCCGAAATTAGACCGAATTAATTACAAAAATTCACGGAGCTTTACATTCTCCCCCACTTACAAATATTCGTTCTCGAATGTAAATCCTTGGTCGTGTTAAAATTTGAAAGCGTAATCTCCGAGTCTTTCCTTACTCCTTAACTCTTTAAGGCTCCGAAATTCGACTAACTCTCCAAATGTTTAAAAAATTTCGTCAGAGTTCCTTTGTTAATAATTAATAGGCTTATCCCAAAAGTTTAACCTGACAGTGAGCCATAAGAATACAATATAAAAGGTCCCACATGACTCTACTCATCACAACTACATCAATGAATGCATCCGCGACTTCATATATCTCCAAACACCATTACATAGCCTCTCCCGGCATCACAACAATAAAATTTATTAACATAAGACAAGTCTAACAACCATGCGCAATAGATAAATCAATCATGTCAGAAAATCGTACCGAATTCCAACTTATAAGTATGATAAATAATTTGCTCACTCGTTCCATGGAATTAAAGCATGATAAACTCCAAACTCGAAATTTCAAGGAAACAATCATACTTGAAGTTGTGAATAAGCACTACTAGAAATTCGGCAAAAATCGACTAAGGTCGACCGACCAACTTTGGTCGATCAAAAAATCGGCCAAAAAACCGACCAAAGTTGGTCGGTTTTTCAAAATATTTTATTTTTTAATTTTTTTTTATAAAACCGACCAACTTTGGTCGATCAAAAAATCGGCCAAAAAACCGACCAAAGTTGGTCGGTTTTTCAAAATATTTTATTTTTTAATTTTTTTTTATAAAACCGACCAACTTTGGTCGGTTTTCTTTGGCGCAAAAATGCGGGAACCTATTTTTGAGTCCCGCGAAATTTATTTTCCAAGAAACCGACCAACTTTGGTAGGTTTTTCAATTAAAATAAATAAAAATTAATATTAAACAAATCGACCAAAATTGATCGGTTAATTCGGCCGATCATTTTAAAAAACCGACCAACTTTTGTCGGTAATTTTATTTTTTAATAAAACGGACCAACTTTGGTCGGTTATTTTCGTGCGGAAATATAATTAAAGAGTATAAATCAAATAAACGACAGTCTTAAAATAAAATGCGCCAATGGTCTAGTGGTAGAATAGTATCCTGCCACAGTACAGACCCCGGTTCGATTCCCAGATGGTGAATCTTTTGATTATATAATTAAAATACCGACCAACTTTGGTCGGAAAAAACCGACCAACTTTGATCGATTTTTTTTGCAATATTTTTTTTTTCGAATTTAATTGACCGACCAAAGTTTGTCGGTAATTTTTGACCAACATTTACCGGTATGCCTTTCCGACCCCTAAAATATCGTCCACACGTAAATGGTCGCGGTTTGGTCGGTTATTGGCCATTACCGACCAAAGTTGGTCGGTTGTTTTGGTCGATTTTTATTAGATTTTTAGTAGTGAAGTGGGGGTATCGGATTTTCATATCCTCCTCGGCCTCCCAAATAGCCTCCTCGACGTCATGATTAGGCCATAACACTTTAACTGAAGCTATGTCTTTAGTCCTCAACCTACGGACTTGCCTATCAAGAATCTCAACCGGTTCTTCGTCATGAGTTAAATCGTCATTTATTTCTACTACCTCCGGTGAGATGATGTGAGCAAGATCGGGCACATACTCCCGTAGCATCGATACATGAAAGACAGGATGAACCAAAGTCATCAATGCAGGTAACTCTAGCTTGTAGGCTACTTCACCAATCCTTTTCAAGATTCGATATGGACCAATGAATCTAGGACTTAGCTTGCCTTTCTTCCCAAATCTCATAACGCCCTTCATTGGCGATACTTTCAAGAAAACTTGATCACCCTCATTGAACTCCAACTTACGTCGATGTACATATGTATAGCCTTTTTGTCGGCTCTGAGTAGTCTTAAGCCGTTGTCGAATCAAAGCCACCTTCTTTAAGGCATCATGTACAAGATTGGGACCAAGTAGTTGTACTTCAGTCGGCTCAAACCACCCAATAGGTGATCTACAACGTCATTCATACAAAGCCTCATAGAGCCATCTGGATACTAGCATGATAGCATTATTGTAGGCAAATTCAATCAGAGGTAAGTGTTTATCCCAATTCCCACCAAAATCTAGGGCACAAGCCACAACATATCCTCAAGCATATGAATAGTTCTCTCAGCTTATCCGTCAGTCTGTGGATGAAAAGCGGTACTCAAATTGACACTTTTACCCAATCCTTCTTGAAAGGACTGCCAAAAATGAGCAGTAAACTGGGCCCCTCTATCAGATATAATGGAAACTGGAATACCGTGAAGTCTGATGATTTATTTCAAGTACAACTTAGCATAATGTGGTGCCATGTCAGTCATCTTTACCGGTAAGAAATGCGCCGACTTCGTAAGTCGGTCTACAATCACCCAAATAGAGTCATGCTTCAAGCGAGTGCGAGGCAAACCCACCACAAAGTCCATATTGATCATCTCCCACTTTCAAAGTGGAATCTTAATATTCTGAGCCAATCCACCAGGCCTCTGATGCTCGGCTTTCACCTGTTGGCAATTTAAACACCTAGCCACAAAGTCAGAAATACTTTCCTTCATTCTATTCCACCAATAGATTTCCCGCAAGTCTTTATACATTTTTGTAGATACCGAATGTATAGAATATCTCAAACTGTGTGCCTCAACCATAATCTCATCACGAAGCCCATCAACATATGGTACACACAAGCAACCATTCATTTTTAACACTCCATCCTCATCAAGAGAAAAGGCAAGAATATATTTAGATTGTACACCATTCCAAATATTCACCATGTTTGGATTGTCACGCCCAAAACCTGGGGAGGCGTGGCTAGCACCCGGTGCCGTACTGGCCGGAGCGAACTACTCTGTAACTTTGTTTTATAACTATCATGGGCCAACATGGCCACAACTCGAAATGTATAACTATAAGTGAGCAAACACTATATCAATGAACCATCGTTCTTAAAACATGTCACATATGGGCCGTCAAGGCCTCTGACATACTGTACAAAATGAACCCCTGTCTACAAAGCTTCTAAGATTATTCGACATCAAATGGGATAGGGTACCGGCCTACCCATAAGTCCGTAGCAAAACTCTGACACAATGACTCATAGATTCGACTGCACTTCGAATGAGGTGGAGTCTTACCGATTCTTCGCTGAATGCTAACCTCGTCTACTATGAGGGCTCGTCAAACTGATTATCTATATCTGCAGGCATGAATGCAGCGTCCCCAACAAAAGGACGTCAGTACGAATAATGTACTGAGTATGTAAGGCAGAACTGAAACATATTCATAAGTCAACATTAATTAAAGACATATAAGAATAAACCTGAATCTCTGAAGTGCCACCGTATTTGCATACTTATTATACTTATACATATAATGCTTCTCTTTGAGACTATTATCCATATAATATGATGCATGACTGCCCAACTGATCAGTGATAACTGCCCAACCGGCCGTCGCACAGTGGTAAATGTATGACTGCCCAACCGACCGTAGCACGGTGGTAAATGCATGACTGCCCGACCGGCCGTAGCTCGGTGTTAAATGTGTAACTTAAGGCGGCAGCCCCTTTACCATCCTTATCCACTTAATTTAACAACCCTTTGGAGTGGATGACTCATAAGAAATGATACTAATATACATACACGTATATGGCACCTTTACCAAGTATCTTCCCCTTATCCAAAAGTACTAGTATTAAAATAATAAATCATGGTACCATATAAAATTAATACATACACTAATACTTTATTAAAATATTCATATAAAAATACATATATTTTCTCAACTTCTAATTTTCCTAATCTCATATAAAGAGTACAACTTTTCGTACACTTAATTCTTAAAATGGTAAAAAGATAGCCTTCTTTTCTTGTGAGAAAATGATTTCTATTCTTACAATTAAGAAATCTCATAAACTTTCTCATATTATGTGTATAATTTAAAGCATATTCGAAAGTAGTAATATTAATAAGTATATAAAAATCATATTTTTCAAACCTTTTTTTTTTTTCAAAAATGATCCACTCAAAATACCATATCAAATATATATATATATATAAAACAGTATCAAGGTTGTTAAACTTACGGGGTCTTATAAGAACATAGTCGCAAATCCTCTATAATCTCATGAATGGTCTTAGTCCCTTCAAGCTCATATGGATTGCTACGACTTATCCTAATATTAAAGTACGGGATGCAACATCCTTCCCCGTTTTAGAAACATTCGTCCTCGAATGTTAACTCTTAGAGATTTACAAAACTTTTGCTAGGGTCTCCTCTGTAAACTAAACTAAAACCCAAACTATATATGAAGTCTCGACTATTCACAACCTTCTGTACTTGAATATATGGTATCTTCTTCACCTTTACCTTACTTACCTTCCAATCTCGCATCGTATCTTTTGTTTCTTTCATAATCTCCCTTCAACATAGGTGGAAATTACGCTGTAAAGCTCTACTATAATACCTGCACCTCTAGTGCATACAAAATCTGGCAAAAGCTTCATATTGACTTCTTACGACTCAGCTCTATGGCACGATCTCGAAACAAAAGAAGGGTAACATTTCCTAAATGCCCTATAGCCTCTCAATTATAAATGTGGCGCGCAACACACCCATAAGTGAGACTCTACTAGGCACGGCTTTATAGACTCCCTAGGACACGACCTGCTCCGATACCACTTTGTCACGCCCCAAACTTAGGGAGGCGTGGCTGACACCCGGTGTCGTACTGGCCCGAGCGAACCACTCTGTAACTTTGTTTCTTATAACTATCAAGGGCCAACATGGCCACAACTCGTAATGTATAACTATAAGTGAGCAAACACTATATCAATGAACCATCATTCTTAAAACATGAATACATATGGGCCGTCAAGGCCTCTGACATACTTTACAAAATGAACCCCTGTCTACAAAGCCTCTAAGATTATTCAACATCAAATGGGACAGGGTACCGGCCTACCCATAAGTCTGTAGCAAAACTCTGACACGATGACTCATAGACTCGACTGCACTCCGAATGAGATGGAGTCTTACCGATCCTTCGCTGAATGCTAACCTCGTCTATTATGAGGCCTCGTCAAACTGATTATCTATACCTACAGGCATGAATGCAGCGTCCCCAACAGAAGGACGTCAGTACGAATAATGTACTGAGTATGTAAGGCAGTACTGAAACATATTCATAAGTCAACATTAATTAAACACATATAAGAATAAACCTGAATCTCTGAAGTGTCACCGTATTTGCATAATTATTATACTTATATATATAATGCTTCTCTTTGAGACTATTATCCATATCGTATGATGCATGAATGCCCAACTGATCAGTGGTAACTGCCCGACCGGCCATCGTACGGTGGTAAATATATGACTGCCTAACCGGCCGTAGCACAGTGGTAAATGCATGACTGTCCGACTGGCCGTAGCTCGGTGGTAAATGTGTAACTTTCCAAATGGCCGTAGCTCGATGGTAAATGCATGACTGCCCGACCTGTCGTAGTACGGTGGTAAATGAATATGCATGTCTGCCCAACCGGCTGTAGCTCGGTGGTAAATGTAGATGCATGTCTGCCCAACCGTCCGTAGCACAGTGGTAAATGCATGAAGATACATGTATCACTATATTCTAAACATTAACATCTTTATCATATACCTCAATAGAGACTTAGGAACGTACTTAGACATACTTGAATATAACTTTACAAGAATGAATAACATAGACATCCTTAACATCTAAGAGTAGAACTACTTATGGAATAACATTACGTTTATGTATCGTTACTTGGGTCATGCCAAAAGAAAATAAGGGAAAAACCTTAGCATACCTAAGCCGATTCTCTTGAGAAAGATTGCACCGTACTCCCTTAGAATCGCAAATCCCGTTACTATTATGTCGTATAAATTCACATGAATTCCTTGTTGAAGATTGTTACTTGGTAAATGTAGAACACCTCTATTTTGGTGAATTTGATCACACTCTTGTATGGCTTTCCTTGCTGAAGCAATAGCGTTTCCATTCCATGTTGAATTACAATCCATTCCTAGCACATATATCTCCATTCTCCATAATAATAATGTAGTAAATAATGATGTAGGAAGATTGTCTTAAGACGTTTGGTTGTGGGCCCTACTTTAGGGGACTAAGCATCAAATATTCTCTAAAAATGCCACCTTGTAATGAGAGTTAAGAGTCATTATTAATGCCTCTTTGGGCTGCCACATAAATGCTTATCCACTCCAACAATAGAAGGAAAGATTGCAATCTCCTTTCTATCTCTCAAATTGCCAAAGAATAACATGAAAGCTTAAGGCTTGCCTTTCACGTGTAAGCAAAGCACATCAAGTGCTATGACTCATGTGCACATTGGTGCCACCCTTGGCCTAACTTAATGCCATGTGGCAACCCCTTTACCATCCTTATTCACTTAATTTAACGACCCTTTGGAGTGGATGATTCATAGAAAATGATACTAATATACATACACGTATATGGCACCTTTACCAAGTATCTTCCCCTTATCCAAAAGTACTACTATTAAAATAATAAATCATGGTACCATATAAAATTAATACATACACTAATACTTCATTAAAATATCTATGTAAAAATACATATATTTTCTCAACTTATAATTTTTCTAATCTCATATAAGGAGTACAAATTTTCGTACGCTTAATTTTTAAAATGGTAAAAAGATAACCTTCTTTTCTTGTAAGAAAATAAAATTTATTCTTACAATTAAGAAATCTCATAAACTTTCTCATATAATGTATATAATTTAAAGCATATTCGAAANGTTGTTAAACTTACGGGGTCTTATAAGAACATAGTCGCAAATCCTCTATAATCTCATGAATGGTTTTAGTCCCTTCAAGCTTATATGGATTACTACGACTTATCCTAATATTAAAGTACGGGATGTAACATGGATCTTCAAATTATTTAGTCTTAACACGCTCAATAAGTGTCACGACCCAATTTTACCTATAGGTCGTGATGTCGCCCAACACTACAGCTAGGCAAGCCAACTAATAAATTAAACATGTATTGATTAAACTTTTAATCCAAGAAAAATAATAAAATACCAAATTCTACCAATGTGTGTGCCAAGACCTGGTGTCACAATTGTATGAGCATCTAGTAGATTATACAAAACTCCAAATACTGTCTGAAATGAAATAGACAGAATGTAAATATAAGAAAAGACACTGGTAGCTGCAGAACGGCTCAGACACTGGTAGGGATTATCATAAGTGCATGGCGAGATAACTCAGAAAATCTCGCCTCATAATCGGTCACTGACATCTGACCCTAATGGAGCTGCTCAAACTGAAACCTCAATTCTTCCCTCTGGGAGGGTGGAATATACCTGTCCAGGAAGATACTGGTGAACTTGTCCCAAGTTATGGGAGGAGAATCTGC